CCCCTTGTGAAAGCCTCCCGGTGGGTGTGTCACTGTGGAATCCCTGTCTCACTTTGATGCTTTATGTATGTTTGACATTGTAGAAGGGTCAAGTAAGCTTCTTTGTCCTCACAGATGACCCAGGAAACCTGCCTGAGCAGATCAAGAAAATGCCTCAGCAGAGTCTTGGGAAGGGAATGTTCATCTCTGCATGGCCTCTAGACTGGATTGCCTGAGAAGGGCAGTGTCCAGGGACCATCTTTTCCAGGCCATCAATAACTTGAGATGGTGCACAAGATGGTCATCCACTTGTACTGTATCTCACTGGTGTTGCATAGAAACTATGTACAAACAAACAAATACTGAAGTTCTGAAGTAGAATTCCAACTGAATTTATCCTAATTGACATTCAGAACACTTTGGGAGGGCTGAGAAAAATCCAAAGGAATATAAACTCTCAGATACCCCTGTTCTTCAGCAGCAGCAGTCACTGTTGTTAAGGTGACAGATCTTTTCATATATAGAACCAGAGAAATGCCAATCCTATGCCCAAACATCAACTCTAACAACCAACTGGATCTAATCCTAGAAGAGACAGCAGAGGGCAGAAGAGATTCCTCCAGACCCTGCACCTCTGGTCCCAGCACTTCCCACAAAGCCTCAGAGATCCAGAAAGTGCAACAGGGCAGGAACAGAGTCTAGAAACATGAAATCAAACACAAACCCCATCAACAGACCCACCTACATCATGTCAGGTGATTTTGTCAGAGGCACCCCAAGGAAATCAAAGCAGAGAAAATGGTCTGTCCACAATGCACTGCAGGACATGTATGGAAAAGGAAACAATAGGGAACCCTTTAGGAAACTGAACACAGTCTCAAATGTTACAGCTGAACCCAGATCCAAACACTGCAATGTTCACACAAAAGTTACAGAAGATACCTATGTAAGTTTCTGCCTCATAAGGAGGAAGATCAGAAACAACAGAGAAGATGAACTGTGGAAACAAGTGCTCTTAATCCATCAGTCAAGAAAATACAGAAGCTGAAGAATGGCTACAGAGGGCATCTAGGAAAAGTCTGGCCCTGTCACAGCCCAGAGGGAACAAATCACCGTTCTAAGAAAAGATGGAGAATCACTGCTAGGTAGCATGAAGGGAATGTCCAGGAAGATGGGCAGATGTGTTCTTCTTACCACCCTTTTACATCCGTGCATCCTGCAAGATTACTGCATGAAGATGTGGGACAGACGCTGAATGATCACAAACCAATGTTGGGGGTCACTTCCAGCACTGACTGTCTGCTTTGCTCTTGACTCCCAAATACCTCAGCCCAGTAGAAGAAGGAGGTTGAGGATAGGAAATACATAGGACTTTCTAGAGCTGGTGAGGTTCCATGCTGCTGCTCCTGGAAACCAGAAAGCCTAGACGCTTATCCCTGCTCCACACACACTGCTAGATGTCAACCCATGCAGAACACACCACACTCCTGCTGCCCTACATTGATTACATGGCTCCAGCACCACAGACTCCAACACTGCTAGGTTTCATGCTCTGATGGACACCTGCAGCCTACAAGCCACATATACATTTAGATAGTAGGCCTTACCTGACATTTTTCTTTACCCACACACACTCATATCAAAGTCCACATAGATTACTAGGTATCAGTTCAGGATGACCCTTTCCCAAAACTCATATAACTGTAGGAGTCAAAACCTTACAAATATGTCCCCGACAAGCTGCTGTGCTCAGATAGCCCTGCTAGTAGTTGGTCCTGCTTGACATTGCTTCCCCTGATACTCCCCCAAATGCACTGGGTAGTATTAGAACCAGCCTGATACCAGCTCCCCAAGAGCCCCATGTAATTTCCTCCATGTCAGGCCTTGCTGGACACTGACTATGAAGCCTTACATATAATGTGTATCAAATCCTATTAGAGCACCCTCCCCCACTCCACCTACAGAGCCACTTCCCAGGCCCTGCTGGACACAAACTCCACCTCATTGTCACTCAATGCCCACTGCTATTTTATAGGCCATGCTGGATGATTCCCTGCTACAGCCTTGCAGTCCACATGAGGTGGAAGCAGGGTGAAATATTATGAAGAATCTAATGCCTACTTGAGTATATGAAGTGAATTAAGT